TTGCCTGCTTTTGCCACTTCGGGAAGGGTCTCTCGGCGAGATTGTCAGCTCTGGACCCCCTTACCTCAGTGACTGCCAAGAGACCTGATCACTCTCCACAACTACCTGGAAGGAGGTTTTAGTGAGGTGGAGATTGGTCTCTTCTCCCTGGTAGCTCATGATAGGACAAGGAGAAATAGCCTCAAGTTGCAGCAGGGGAGGGTTAGGTTGGATATTAGGGGGAATTTCATTACTGAAAGGGTCATCAAGCACTGAACAGGCTGCCCAGGGAGGCGGTTGGGTCACCATCCCTGGAGGTGATTGAAAGATGAGTAGATGTCGTGCTTAGGGACATGGTCTAGTGGCAGACTTAGGGCTGGTTTGGTGGTTGGACTCTGATCTTAAAGGTCGTTTCCAACCAAAACCATCCTATGATTTTATGACCCCGAGGTTTGCTGGTGTTTCTCCAGCTTTGAAATACCAAGATGTGCTCTCGAGGTGAGCCAGGCTGTGGGGGCTTAGCCCAGGACCTTGCTGCAGTGGTGGCTTTTACTTGATCCCCAGGGGCTGCATCCAGGGGTGACAGCTACAAGTGTAAGGAAAAACCCTCCCTCCTCCGCCATCCATCCTCCATCCCCCATCCTGGCCACTGTTGTCCCTGCTCCGTGAAGGGGAACGGCTCCATCCCACATCACCCCAGACCCCAGAGCTGTCCAGGAGAGACGGGCACAGCACAGGGGACAATGCTGGCAGCTCCAGCCAGGCAGGGAGCAGTGCCCAGAGCAGGCCAGGCTGGGAACGCTGCCCCGCAGTGCCCGGTATCTGGGCGCTAGATCGCACAGAAAGACAGAAAGAGGGTGAGAAAAGATAACAGGAAACAGGGGACATGGCTGGGGAGGAAAAAACACCCAGCCCCCGTGCTGCAGTTGGCCTCTGAGGACTCCCAGGGCGGCACTGAAACCGCAGAGCCCTGCTTCACCCGGCACAGGGGCACGGTGCTGTGCCCGGCTGCTGGCACTGCCGCAATCCCTGTGCCCGGGATTCGGGTGGGAGCAGTGGGGGGTGCAGACCCCAGGGGTGCTCGAGCAGCGCTAGGGAGTGGTTTGGGGCCCAGCTCTGTGTGTGCCAGGGCATCCCTGCCAGCTCCAGGGACAACGCCACGCACCTCGGGGCTCCCCTGCCTCAGTTTCCCCATCTCTTTCAGGGAGACTTGGTGCCCAGATAACACCACCAGCAAAGAAAACAGGACGTGTGGCCATAAAGGGGACAGGGGCAGGGCCAGAGCCTGGGCACGGGCACAGCTGGGGCACACATGTACCCGCTTCCCCTTTAGGCAGAAAACACCGGTGCCCAGGGCTTGGCAGCACCGAGGAGCTGCTGGTGCCGCTTTAGCTGGCGGTTTCAAGATGAGTCAGCGGGAGCCAAGGTCAGGTTGGCATCCTGTTGTTAACCCAGCTGCGGGTGGCACCCTGGCAAGGCTGAGGGCAGGGCGCTGCCTGCACCCCTCCCAGGGCACCCCAACCACGGCACACACACCCCGGGCAAGGCACCGCTGCTTCCCAGCACCTGCCCAGAGGGAATTGCCTTGGGTGGCAGTGCCAGGCTGGGGCTTCGGGGGCTGATGTCCCCTTGCATCCCTGGCAGCTCTGCTATGGGTGGCAGCAGATGCTGAGGAAGCAACTGGTTTCAGTGTGAGCCAAAGGAGCATCGTGCTGGTGGGCTGCTCCTGGGTGATTCCAGAGGGTGTTGTGTGTGCCAGGGGTGCATGGATGGACCTGACAATCCTGCTTATGATGATGATGATGATGCTGATGTTGTATTTGTGGGCTCAGCAGGGCTCAGCGTGGGTCAGGGATCTCTGCCCGCTGTCCCCTCCTCTGTGCCACCCCGTCCCCTGGCACCCCTCTGCCATGAGGGCAGGATCCCAGCCTGAGAAGGTGGTCAGTGCACCCATGGACCAAGTCCCCAGTCCCCGCTGGCTTTGGAGGGGACCCTTCAACACCACAGGAGGTGCTGGAGAGCCCTGCAGGGACACGGGGCCATCCTGCAAACCCCAAACTGGGGATGGGTATCTTGGCAAAGCACCCCCTGGCTGGGGTCTGGGGCTCCAGCTGGCAGCTGGGATGAGAGAGATGCTTGGCAGAAAGGAGCCACAATTTGGGCTCAGTTTCAAACCTGGTGCCTGGTAAACCCCTTTGGGGAACTGAAATCCCATGTGAGGCCACACACGTGTCCTCCAGGGAGCCACAGCCTGCCCAGAGGGTAAGGGTGGGGAGCACAGGGGGACAGGGCAGGGTGCACGGCACAGAACACCAGGAGCCTTTCCTGGGGGTGCCAAGGCACTGCTGTGGGGCAGCACCTCCGTGGGGCACACAGTGGGCAACCAGCGTGGGGATGCACCCGTCTGGAGGGCACGCACCCAGCCATGAGCTGCACCCATGTGGCAGTCACAGGGCATGCACTGGTGATGGGTGCCTACGCAGCCAGAGGCACCCACACATCTATGGGGCACCCGTTCAGCTGGGTGGCACCCACCTACCCCCAGCAATGGGGCAGCCACAGGGCAAGAACCTGGTTATGGGGCACCCACCCAGCTGTGGGCCACCCAGCTGGCCCCAGGGTGCATCCATGGGACACCCTCTCAATGTATGAGCCCCGAGGCACCCACCCAGCCATGGGGCACGCATGAAGCCGTGGGTCACAGGGGAAGCGCTGGGAGCCGGCTGTGCCAGCCGCTGTGCACAGCAGGAAGGATCCGCTGTGGGGCCGGGACGAGGCGAAACCGCAGAAAAGAGGAAGCCATCGAGTGCCCCAGCTCAGCCCGGCAGCTGCCAGGGCAGACACACACCAGCACCTCGCACACCAGCACCGCGCACGCCGCTGCACCGGCCATTCCTGGTAAGTCCGAGCTCAGCACGGCCGCCTGCCATGGGGAGAGGGGCTGAGAAATGGGTCAGGTCCTGGTGCTGCCAGAGAGGGGCGTCCCCTCCCAGGACATCCTCAAGACCGGGGCAACATCCCCTCTGATGGGGATCAGCGGGTGGGCAGTCAGACCCAAAGCATCAGTGGAGTTCAGGGAGCTGGCAAAGCTTTCCCTGCCATCCCCACTTCAGATCCCAGGTTTTTCTGAAGCCTAAACTTAGCCCGTGTATTTTAGCAGGACAGACGGAGCGGGCCAAGGCAGGGAAGGGATTTTTCGCAGCAAAGCTGCAGTGGATGGGGTGGGAAAGCAAGGCACTG